AGTAGTATACAAGGTTCTTCTCCTCAATTTCTTGCTTCATGCTCATGCTATACCAAGATTCTCTGGGGCAAGGAACCAGAAGAAGCAATGATAAATGAACTCTAAGTTAAGAGGAAAATATCCAATACAGAGACTTCTTTTCAATTAAAGACCACCATTTTAGAATCACAGAATAAATCATAAGCTTCTCCACTCTTCAGTAACAGTGAGTAATTCTGATCTTTGTATTGCATGAATATGGACAGACTTACAGAAATGAATATATATTATATTAGAGATACAAGAAACATAGGAGATACAAGAAATGTAATATATATATTATATCAGAGATACAAGAAACATAGGAGACATTATATAAAAAATAGCAAAATGGCCAAAGTTACTATAGGCATATTAGTAAGTACATGAAATGTGGAATGGTTTAAACACCTCACACAAAAGGTAGACATTGTCAGACTGGGAAAAACACAATATCCAACTATACACAAGCTACAGGAAACACTGCTTCTCTTCAAAGACACAAATTATTTGAAAGTAAAAGAATATGAAACATGATATCATATGAACAGTATTCAAAAGACAGAGCCAGTGGCTATTTTAAAAAACAAAGCAGACTTTGAGATATACTACTAGAACCCAAAAAAGACATTTCATAATAAGAAAGTCAAAATATTAGTATGACATCAATTAAGAATGCATATTCACCTAACCACATAGACTCCAAGCACATGAACCAAAATGTGACAGAATTTAAAGGAAAAGAAAAATGTAACAATTATACTTGAAGATTTCAACATCTTATTTTCAGTAACTGACAGAATAACCAGGAAAAATTCCATAAGAATACAGAACACTTAAACAACACTGACAAGCTAACTTGCTGTTTATATAATATTCCATCCAACTACCATAGAATACATTTTAATTTGCATGGTCAGTTCTGTAGGATAGACCACATGCTAAGCCTGGAGTAGAAAACTGTAGCCCATTGGCTAAATCCAGCCTATTAGCATTATGTGGGGTGTTGGAGGAGATGAATAAATAAAGTTTTATTGGAATACAACCACAATTATGCATTTACCTAATGCTGTTGGAAGCTTTCACACTACAACAGTGGAGTTGGGTAGTACAGTACACACCATATGATTTGCAAAACCAAATATATATGTAACATGGTGTTTTACCAGAAAAAAACAAAATCAAAAACTGTAACTCCTTGGGTAGGCCATTAAAAAGTCCTAACAAATTTAAAAGGATGGAAATCATACAAAGCATTTTATCTAATTACAACAGAATTAAATCAGAAATTAATAATAGAAAAAATATTTAAAATTTCCAAATATTAGAAAATTGAATAACACTTCTAAATAAACTAAGGGTCAAAGAGATAATCAAAAAGAAAATTGGAAAGTATTTTAAGAGAATGAAAAATTTTGTAGTAGAAAGAAAAAGCTGAAAGACTAACACTTCCTGTTTCCAAAACTTAATAGAAAACAACCATAATCAACATGATATTATATTGGTGAGAAAACAGGCATACATATCAATGGATAATAATTGAGAGTCCAAAAATAAATCCATACAATTATATTCAGCTGATTTCAATAAAGGTACTACAACAATTCAGTGGGATATAAAAGATAATCTTTTCAAGAAACAGTTTTGAAATAATTGGATATTAACATGCATAAAATGAATTTATACTCTTTTCCCACACTATACACAAAATTTAGCTCAATATAGATCAAAAACTTAAATATAAAAGCTAAAATTCTAAAATTTTTAGAAAAAAAGAGAATATCTTTAGGACTTTATTTGAACAAATAATTCTTAGATGATGCACCAAAAGCACAAACCATATAAAAATAAATTGATAAACTGAATGTAATCAAAATTTAAAATGTTTGTCTTCCAAAGACATCATTAATAAAATGGAAAGACAGCAATAGACTAGAAATAAATATTTGCAAATCATATATCCAGCAAGGAACTTGTATTCAGAATATAAAAATATCTCCTTCCCCTCAATTTTGCAATGAACCTAAAACTATTCTAAAATATAAAGCCAATTAAAAAAATGCAGGATGAAGGAAATATTTGAATAGATATTTTACTAAATAATAAATACAAATAACCAATAGGCACATGAAAAGATTCTAAAAGCATTAGTCATTAAGAAAATGTGAATTACAACCCCATGTAACTAGGATGCCTATAATCAAAAAAGATAGTAGTGAAAAGGGTGTGGAATAAAGAAGTCTCATCATTGTTGCTGGGACCATATAATGATAAGGCCAATTTGGAAAGTAACTTTGCAGATTTTTAAAGTGTCAAACACAACTTACTTACAACCTAGCAACTGGACTCTTGGAAAAATTTTAAAACATTAAAACATATGTCTTTACATACAAAGACATTTATATGACTGTTAATAACATGTTATTCATAATAGCAAAACACTGGAAACAACCCAAATGTTTATCAACTGGTGAATGGACAGACAAAAGTGGTATAGCTATACAATGGAATACTGTTCAGAATGAAAAGGAGCAAGCTATTGATATAAACCACAATTGGGTATACTTTTAAAATGTTATGATAAATAAAAAAGCCAGATGCAGAAGACAACTTATTAGATGATTCAGTTAATGAAATATCCATATTACAGAGACAGAAAGCAATCAATGTTTTCCTAGGTGGGAGTTTTGAATGGTAATTTAACTGAAAATAAGCAGGAGAAAATTTCGGGGGAGGTGACAGAAATGTTCTTAAGCTTATTTATGGCAACATTTGCAAAGTCTATAAATTCACTTAAAAATCATAAAATTCTATACTTAGAGTGGTTAACTTATATGAAAAGTAAATTATACTTCAGAAAAAGCTATTTAAAAAAATAACAGTGTAAAATTCAGTCTGGCAGGGAAAATTGGGGAATGTTAAGCAATATAGACAAACCTAGAAGTGAACAAATTTAAAAAATAATAAAGGAGATAATAAAAAGCCCAGAGATAGAAAATTAAGAAGAAAATTCTACTTTAACATGAAGCAATGTAAAAATGTGTGAAAGGCTGATTTCTTCACAATAAGTTGGCTTTGCAGCCACCAACACTTGTCACAGAAAATGGCTGCAAGATTTATGTGTAATAGGATTATGCATGCTTAATTATAGCATTTAATAGTATTTTTCTATAAACTAATAATGCTGCAGTAATCAGCAAGGTCTTCTGAGGTCCTCTCAGAAATCTCACATTTCAAATGATAAGGCTAGCTTTATATTTCACTTGTGGTAACAAGGGCTGGGCCACTCAAGCATAGACTGCATGATTTAGACTGTTGGGAGGCATACTTCCATTGGTCCCTTGTGTTCCTACATGTCTTTCCATGAATTCCAAGACTGTAAGGCCCTGACTGCTCTTTACTTGGGCCATTCTCAAAGTTCTGCTTGCAGCAAACACCCATAGAAGAGGTGACACCTCCTCCTAAACCAAGAGCTGGCTTCCTTATCAGGTGTTATAAGGTGGTAATTTCACTAAATTTGGCATTCCTCTCCTGTATGTGCAGGTCTCCATTAGTCCCATAGAAATTAGGGTTTAGGGAATCAATGAGAAACCATGCCAACACTCTGGCTACTGCTTTTGCTGTGAGGAATAAAGTCTTTCATTTCCAACCAAGGAGTCTCACTTCTTGTGATATAGTTTCTTCCATAAAACTATATCAATCTAAATTTGTTAGCTTGCAAAAGGGCAAAATGTCAGCTCTTTGGCAGCTCTTGACATCTTATTTACAGTATATTTTACTTAAGCATAAAGACAAAACAAGTTTAAAGCCTGATCTTCATTACATCATTAGGATTTGTATTAGTTAAATCATATTGCTCACTCCCCATAAGCAGGTTTTACGAAATCTATATTTGTATATCTGTGTGGCCCAGAACAGTGTTCTAGAGAGTTAAAAAGATGCCAATGGTTTTGAAATCTAATTAAAAACTTAATTCTGTGATAAAGAAAATATTAAACCAGATTTAATAACCTGTTATGTATTTTAGTTCAGCTAATTCTACCTGCTGAACTAAGAGGCATTAAATAAAAAGGATCTGAAAGATCCTTCAGGACGACCTGAAAAAGGTAGTCTAGCATTCGTCCTTCAACAATAGCAATGGATGAGGTAAGAATATTGTCTTTGGAAACAGAATACTAGGTTCAAATTCTAGCTCTGCCAGCTGTTTGCTATGTAAACATGGTTACATAATGTAATCCCTCATGGCTTCAGTCTCAATTTATACAATGAAGGGTAACATTAATATTGCTGGTGTTGCCACCTGTGGGGGTCTGTCCTGCAGACCCTGACTCAGTGATGGATGAATAAAGTACACTGACACACAGATATTATGCTTTGCTAGTTCAACTGAGTAAGCTCGGCCACTTACAGACTCCCTGAAGAGTGCTGTAAACAGTTGTGACCACCAGTCCCCATCTGTCAGTAAGACTCACATTATTTAGTTAAGTTTAACTGACAAAGGCTTGAGTCAATACCAGCAGATGTTGAAAGATTAGAGGACAAGTTCTGATGCCCAAAGCAAACATCATTAGTGGGTAATATCCCTAGTTAACCTCCCTCTGTCAGGGCTATCCAGCTTAAAGTTTAGTTTTAAGACCACATGAGTAAACAAGTTAGTTAGGTAAACTCCCACATTCCTTTGTCTCTGCACACTAATCTCTCTGGCTCCTGCAAACAGACTGTGGCTGCCTTCAGCCAAGAACTATAGAAAAAACCCTTAGGCTTTCCAAAAGGGTTTGACACTATATTCCATAATTTCTTCTAATATTTTTCCCTTAATATTTTTGCTACCACCCTGAGTGAATTCCCATACAATATCACCATTATAGTGTTAAGATTAATAAATGTCTATGTGTAGTACTGTGCAGGGGCCTAAATGCACTTCCTAAGCTTTGTTACTCAGTCTTACTCAGGAAATCACCACAAGAGAGATAGTAGCTCACCTGTGAGAGGTCAGCACTGCAGCACAGCCTTCCCGAACCTCCTTCATTATTGTTTGCCACAGGTAGCGCTTAGAGCAGGGATCCATCCCAGAGCTGGGCTCATCCTGAAGAAAATACAACACATAGTCACTGACATTTGAAAAACACACAGAGAAATATACGCAATAATATGGGAGGCCAGACCCCGGGTGAGAGAAGAGCCTCTGCTCTGGCTCTAACAGGTACGTCTCCAATTCGCTTGTTGCACTCTGCTCAACAAAGCCAGAATGATAGGGAAATGTGAGAGAACAATGAGTGAGTGCCTGACTCCCCAGCCATGCAGCATGCTACCCAAGAGCCCCACTTCTTTCTTACCAAATCCAGAGAAATTCAAAAAAAGAGATCAAAATTATATATATATAACCAAATAGAAATATTGGAGCAGAAAAATAAAATAAATGAAATAAAAAATACAATGGAGAATGCCAAAAGCAAATTTGATCAAGCAGATAAAAAATATCTGTGAACTTGAAGGCAGATTATTTGAAAATATCCTGCCAAGGAAAAACAAACCAAAAAAAAATTATGCAAGGAAGCCTACAGGGTTTATGGCACATTATCCAGAGACTTAACTTTTACATTATGAGATTTACAAATAAAAGAGGGTGAGAAAAAGGAGCAGCAGAATGTTTATTAAAGAAATAATGGTTGGAACCTTACCAAATTTGGGTAAAGAGATAAACATTTGAAAGCTTCATTTATACGAAACTTAAAAATTCCCAAACAGCTTCAACCTAAAGAATTATTCACTGAGATACACAATAATCAAACTGTCAAAAATGAAAAACAGAATTTTCACATCAACAAGAGCAAAAAAAGGTTCATTACATACATCCACAAGGCTATCAGTGGATTTTTCAAAAGAAATCTTGAGAGCTGGTAAAGAATCAGCTGATATATTCAAAGTGCTGGAAGGAAAAAACCCTGCCAAATCAGAATACTTTATGTACTTTACCCAGAAAAGCTACGCTTCAGAAATAAAAAAGAGATAAAGAATTTCCCAAACAAAAGCTGAAGGAGCTCATTGACACAATACCTGCCTTATAAAAAATGCTCTAAATAAAATTTTTAAATGTCATAAATAAAATTTTAAAAAGGGAGTTCTTCAAAGCAAAAGGATTCTAATTAGAAACATGAAATTATAAAACTCACAGTATACAGCCAATTCAGCATACTGTAATGCTTTAATGCTGATGTGTAAATCAATTATAACTATAATATTCAGATTAAAAGACAAAAAAGTATTAAAATAACTAAAGCTACAATAATTTTTTAATGGAAACATAATCTAAAGAGCTGTAAATTGTGACATCAAAAACATAAAATAAGATGGGTGGAAGTAAAAGTGTAGTTTTTTTAAAATGTGATATAAGTTCAGTTACTATCAGGTTAAAAATAGACTTTTGTAACTATAAGATGTTTTATGTTGATTCATGGTAACCACAAATAAAAAACGTGTAGTAGGTGCTCATGCATGCACACACACAGAGAAATGAATCAAAGCATACCAATACAAAAAAAATTATCAAATTAAATGAAAGACAGTAATAGAGGAAGAAAAGAACAAATAACTTTACAATTTCTTAAGAAAACAATTAACAAAGTGTCAAGAGTATGTTCTTAACCTATTAATTACATTAAATGCAAATAGACAACATTTGCCAATCAAAAGATATAAAGTGAATGAATCAATAAAAAACCAAGATCCTACCTTATGCTGTTTACAACAGACTTATTACAGTTTTTAGGATACAAATAGACTGAGTGCGAAACAATTGGCAAAGATATTCTAAGCAAACGATGACCCAGAGGGCATGTTTTTCTATATTTTATGTCAGAAAAAAATACACTTTAAGTCAAAAACTGTAAAAAGAGAGAAATACAATGTAAAACGGTCAATTTATTATAAAATAATAAAAGGGTAATTATAAATAGATATGCACCCAACAACACCAGAGTAACTATATGTGTAATGCAAAGATTAACAGAACTGAAGGGAATAAAAGACATAAGTACAATAAGAATAGGGGAGTTCAAGGCTCCACTTTCAATGATACATTGATTAACCAAGACAGAAAATTATTAAGGAAACAATGTACTTGAACTACACTGTAGACTAAATGAACCTAACAGCCATACACAGAACATCCCTCCAACAGTAGCAGAATGCACATTCTTCCCCAGCACATATAATATACTCTCCAGGACAGACCGTATGTTAGGCCAAAAAACAAGTCTAGTCTAAACAATTTTTAAAATTGACATCATATCCAGTATCACTTCAGACCAAACTGGAAATTTCACAAATACATGTAAATTTAAAAAAAACTCCTGAATGACAAAGGGGTCAAATATGAAATTAAAAAGAAATTTTTTTAAAACTACATTAATAAGGAGGAAAACTGGAAAATTCACAAATACATTTAAATTAACAATGCATTCCTGAACAATCAATGGGTCAAAAAGAAAATTATAAAATACATATATCTTGAGACAAATGAAATGGAAACAAAACAAAACTTGTGGGATGAAGTAAAAGCAGGTTTGAGGAAGAAGTCACCAACATTAAGAAAAAATAAAGATTTCAAATAAATATCCTAGGTTTACAGCTGAAGAAACTGGATAAAGAAATGAACTAAGTCCAAAGTTAGCAGAAATAAGAAAATAATAAAAAGCCATATATCAGAAGTCCACAGCTAACATCATACTCAACAGTGAAAAGCTAAAAACTTGTAATCTAGGAAGAACAACTGAAGAAACTGGATAAAGAAATGAACTAAGCTTGATTGAGGACTCAAGATGGCGCTGTGAGAACAACCCAGGATTGGAGCTCTTCTCGTTGAATCTGCAAACGGTGAGTCAGAGCGGCATTTCCAGACTGATCTTTGTTGCCCACAGAACGGGGAAACTCCCAAGTATAAAAAAGACACGGGACGCCAGGCAGTAGGTCTGCCTGGAGAAGCCGGCAGCCGGGGCGGCGGCGGCCGGCCCTACCCAGCAATCCCCACAGGGCGCGCTTGTCCGGGTGCCCTGTTGAACCGGCAACCTGAGACTTGAGAGGGCTGGACTTGAGACTGAACGAGACTTGGACAATAGGCCAGCCCAGGGGATTGCAGGGATTGGGATACCCAGTGGGACGAACAAAACCGCGATTTCAAACTATCCTGAGCAGACAGTCCGAGACGCTCTGTCGGGGAGGGGTGTCCACCACTACTGAGGCAACCCGCCCCAACTGAGATACACGCCCACTGCTGAGGCAGCCGGCCATTGCCGAGGCAACCCGCCCCAACTGAAATACACGCCCACTGCTGACGCAGCCAGCCGTTGCCGAGGCAACCCGTCCCTACTGAGATACACGCCCACTGCTGACGCAGCCTGCCGTTGCTGAGGCAACACGCTACAGCGAAGAGACTCCGCCGCAGGGCGTGGCGGAGACCACAGCAGAGCCGGCAGGAACAGCACGAATCACACAACAGCAGGGCGGAGCCTCGGCAGCCAAACAGTGGCTAGTCTGCCTTCTAGCTGGGCAGGACACCTGATCGGACATCCAAAAATAAAGCCCAAACCCCTCAACACAGAGCATTTGAGAAAAAAAAAAAAAAAAAAGGGTTTTTTAATGAGCTCTGTTGCAGCAGAATCAAACATAGCAGCATAACAGCCCTGAATGAACAACAGAGTGCACAGCTCAGCAATTAAACCCCTGTAAAGTACAAACTGTCTCCTCAAGCAGCTCCCTGACCCCTCTATATCCAAAAGACTGACATTAGGCAGGCATCATCCTGGGACAAAGAGAGCAGAAAAAGAAACTGGTAGCATCCCTCGCTGTGCCGCAGCTACTAGAGGTGCACCCCAGACAAGCAGGGTCTGGAGCGGACCTCAGCAGTCGTACAGCGAAGGGGCTAGTCTGGTAGAAGGAAAACCAAGCAACAGAAATACTTCATCATCAACATTCTGGGTGTCCACTCAGAGACCCAAACGAAAAGTCAGCAACTACGCAGACGACCAGCGGACAAATCCACAAAGATGGGAAGAAACCAGCGCAAAAAGGAGGAAAACACCCGAAACCAGAACACCTCGCCTCTTAGAAAGGACCAAAACTCCTCACCAGCAAGGGAGCAAAGCTGGACGGAGAATGACTGTGACGAAATGACGGAATTAGACTTCAGAAGATGGATAATGAGAAACTTTTGTGAGCTAAAAGATCATGTATTAAATCAATGCAAAGAAACTAAGAACCTTGAAAAAAGATTTGAAAAAAGATTCGAGGAAATGATAACAAGAATGGATACCTTAGAGAGGAATATGAATGAATTAAAGGAGCTGAAAAACACAATACGAGAACTTCGCGAAGCAAACACAAGTTTCAATAGCCAAATTGACCAAGCAGAAGAAAGAATATCTGAAGTCGAAGACCAACTCAATGAAATAAAACGAGAAACCAAGATCAGAGAAAAAAGCGCAAAAAGGAATGAACAAAGTCTCCAAGAAATGTGGGACTATGTGAAAAGACCTAACCTACGTTTGATAGGTGTACCAGAAGGGGACGAAGAGAATGAATCCAAGCTGGAAAATACTCTTCAGGACATCATCCAGGAAAATTTCCCCCACCTAGCAAGACAAGCCAACACTCAATTGCAGGAAATACAGAGAACACCACAAAGATATTCCGCAAGAAGAGCAACCCCAAGGCACATAATCGTCAGATTCAACAGGGTTGAAATAAAGGAGAGAATACTAAGGGCAGCCAGAGAGAAAGGTCAGGTCACCCACAAAGGGAAGCCCATCAGACTCACAGCAGATCTCTCGGCAGAAACACTACAAGCCAGAAGAGAGTGGGGGCCAATATTCAACATTCTTAAAGAAAAGAACTTTCAACCCAGAATTTCATATCCAGCCAAACTGGGCTTCAGAAGTGAAGGAAGAATAAAATCCTTTGCGAACAAGCAAGTACTCAAAGATTTTGTCACCACCAGGCCTGCTTTACAAGAGCTCCTAAAAGAGGCACTACACATAGAAAGGATCAATCAGTACCAGCCATTCCAAAATCACACTGAATGCTAAAGAG